GTTAGAAGTTAGCAGTTAAAAATTAATATCTTATTTTTTGGGTAAAGTTCGATCACTGATCAAAGTGCAATTCATCGACAACCCTTTTGAGTTGTAGTAGCCACTAATATGCCATAATAGGGAAATACTGGTGCCACCTATGATTTAAGTTTCGATAATCTCATTTTTTAATTTTTAATTGACGAACCTAAATAATTGAATAATTTTTTTACTAAAAGTAAAAAATTTTATATTTGAGTCACATTATACTTGAATGAGTGAAAATAAAAAATGAGATATGATTCTCTTTTGCTGTGCAACTAATATTAAAAAAAAAATTTAAAAAAATAAAATTATGTATTAAGCCCCTAAACTAATTTTAAATTCACTATTAAACTCTTAAATTTTAATTGATGCATATAAGTACTTAAACTTCATAATCTAAACAATTTACCCTTATTCTTACATCAATTTAGCTTTCACTCTTACAGTAATTAAAGAATTAAGGGTTTAATTACTCAAATCATAAAATCTAAGAGTTTATATGTATCAATTAAAATCTAAAAGTTTGATAACAAATTTGAAATTGATTTAGAACTTAACATATGGTTTTGTCAAAAAAATAAAAAATAAAAAAATGCAAACTTTAAATCCTGACCGACGCTGGGGAATAGGAATGGAATTCCACCTGATATTGGAATTTCAAAATCCCCTGTAAAATTTCCCACCATGCAATCATGTATACAGGAATTGAAATCTAGATTTCATACTTCTTTTATTTGCATCTCTCGCACCTGTCAATTATTTTTTCATTTGTTTTCTATAGAATAATCAAAGATTTAACTCTCACTTAATACTCTCAGCTTCGCCACTGTCATTTTTGTTGTCAGCCACGCAAGAAGAAAAGAACTTCCAAGCGGCATTGTGACCTTGTTGGGAAAATTTTTTTGAACAGTATACATCTTTCATTTTTGTTCTCTTTTATATACGCTGATTTGATGCTTATGTCCCCGTCTCTTCTTGGTAGCCTTTTCTTTTTTCAAGATGATGTGCATTAATTAAACTTCTAAAAGGAGCACCTGTAAAATAAATTTCAGTGTATGTGCTAGAGCAGTAAAAACCCGTATTGAGCTGCTCTTCTCGTTTGACTATTAATTTCCATATCTAAATCGCACTCACAAATGAATTATGCTCACTTAAGCTTCATATTTAGCACATTGGTGCCTAATGTTTTCGCACATTGATACTTGATGTTTTCAGACTCCCTCAATTAGCACCTCTGTGTCTGTATCATGTTTGTGCTTTTATTAAGAGATGGAAATAGACCCAGAATTAGGTTTTCTGCATGTTCTTAAACATTGCTTGCTCATTTCTACATGCTTCATTCCATTCATGTAGATGCATTGTATAATAGCTTGAATGACTTGGTGATGACCTCTTAAGAAATGAAACATTCAAGAAGCAAGTCCACAGAGATCTCTCAATATTGACCATGTTTCCCTTGTGCTTTTTTCCAATTTCAGGTGTTTGGAGCAGATAAGAAATTCTGGTTTTTCCATGCATATTCAAGAGAAGACCTGAGAAGGATACTAGCATTACAAGGTTTTGAGTATCCAATGAGGCCTGATTTGTATCCATTCCAGGAGCTTTAGATACTGGCAGCAAAGACACTCCCGGTTCCTCCAACGCCTGTGGCTTGTATCTTGTACATGTGTACATAAAAATATTAACTGATTCCTGTTACTAAAAAATTTGTTGATATGGTACTAGCATTTTTTTCTGAATAAATTTGTAAAAGATTGGATTTAAATTGTTGTCCTGAAAAAAAAAGAATGCACTTATTAGGACCTTACGTCATTGGGCTCAAAAGCCCAAGTGCGATATGGTACTAGTATTTTTTTTTTTTTTTGAACATTTTGTCATAGGGCCGATTTGAACCGTTGCCCTAGAGGAGAGAGACATGAACTTTACAAGCGTGGTTAGAACCACTTGGCTCGAAGGGTCAAGTTCAAAAAGTGTTCTAGCATTTTAAGCCTCTATTTTTTCAACAAAATTATGTATTTATAAGCTAATATACAACAGAGAAATAGCAACTCTTTCCTGTTTCCCGATGGGATGTAGCTCTCCTGCTAAACTTTGTTGATAAGGAGGTTTGTTCAAGGGGAAAACCAGAGGTTATTTTCCCCTTAGGTAAGCAACAAATAATTTTTTTTTTTTATAAATTTCTGAAATCATAAATACTATATTTCTGACCAAACCAGCAAAAATGGTTACTTAGGATTTATTGAAATTAAAAAGTATTATGTAGTTCCAAACTTTGTAATTTAAATAATTGGATAAAGAGTTGTTTTTTT